AATGCCATGACAACTGGCTCCTCTTGAAGCTGCCACAAAACTCTTTGATGTTCCTGTGGTCGCAGACATGCAAATCAACCTAAAGCATTTTATATTCAGAAGTAAATCCTATTAAGTCAATGAGGCATATTCCCTAATAAGTGTTCGATCCTATTACAGCTAGGATCTAATTATATATAACATGGCCTATGTGTAAATAGAATCTTCTACACACTACAAAAATCAGCATTCTTCAATTGATGCATTCTCAAAGTGTTCCTACAATTGTAAAAAGACCTTGACACCATGCAAGTATAGAAAAGAACACAAATTGGTACAAATCTGCAGATTTTTACTATGAAGAAAAGGAAGTATGAAAGAAAGTTCTATATCACCTTTTTCAAGGCCCAGCTTCATATCCCTCTAATTGTGGCACACAGATGTCCCGATGTCATGAAATTGCCTTTGTCTCATCTCCAGCCCACAGTGGAGGCAATCAAAATTTCTGTTTAGATGTTCCAGCTTTAAAGTAGAGTGTTCCTTCTTCTCCCAATGCAGTTTTGGCCATAGCTCCAGTCTAGGCTTCCCTAGTGATGTGGTTACTGGCAGAGTCAGGGGTTGGATCTGCCTAGCTCCTGGATGTGGATAGGCTGCCTGCCCTCTTGGGTCACCTCTCTTACTGGCCATTTTGGCTTAGGCTGATGGAGGGATCTGCCCATGTCATGCCTAGTGCTGAAAGCATTACACAACAGTCTTAAATATCAGCAAGTTTAGTGCTGTTTCGAAAAAGGGCTGGACCTATATTTTACAAACAGAATGAGAGCTGTCCTGAGAAATCACCATTCCTGTGCTGCACAGCAAGTCAGTTAACTGGGAAAAAGAACTGGGTTCCACCAGTTGTATTACTAGGCCTATTGCAGAATACCTCCCTGCCTGCAAACTAGTTAGATGGGCAACTAGACAGGTGGTTAAACCTGCCATTCTAAGCACCCGGCTTTCCTCGCCTCAGCCCAGCCCACCTTACTGCACATTAAGGAGAGTGACCCATAGTGGTTTTACTTGCCAGCAGGTGATTCTTGGTAGGAGAGGAAATGAAAATGGGAGAATCACTTTCCTTCACTTTTCCTGCATTAAAATTATAAGGATAAGGACCCCTTGTTATTCAGGCAGAATAGGGTTCAGCTATTGGGACAGGGTAATTTATACTGGCATAGTTTTCTGCTAGCTCAAGGACTGGAGGACAGTAGCTGAAGACATCCAAGAAGAAACCTCAGATTTTGGTGTGATGGACTTCAACTCCCATAATTTTTAGCCAAATTAGGGGAGATGAAGTTCAACGACTTGGGAAAGAACAAGGTTGTAGAATACTAATTTAATAGCGACTGCATGGATTTATATGGGCACCATTACCATGGAAAAGGGGCTTATCTTTTTCTACTGTACTATTTTCTAAATGAAAATCCTTAAAATTTCCATTTTTCTCATAGGGGAAAATATACAAGGACAAAGAGCAATGCTGAGGGAGGTGGAAAATCAGTTATTTCATTCAGTCAACCCCATTTGGAATTGATCAGCTGAAAGAACTGCAGATTTTTTTTTTCACATCATCTCTAACTTGACCATCAGGACCAAACCATAAAATATGATCTTCACATTTGACTCTCCTAACCCTTTAATACTGGTACAGGGGCTGTAAATTTGTTTGATAGAAGGGTTTTTTTCCTTATATTTTTCTATGCATTATATCTGTTGCCTATAACAAAATGCCATTAGCTAGTGATAGCTTCAGATCGCTTGCAGAGGTGATGTATGGGGGGGGGGGAGATGTGGGGGAAGGAAAAGGTTGAATATCTTCCTTCCATGTTGATCTTGCAGTGCAAATCTATACAATCTATACAGAAGATAACTTCCCCTGCACTAGTGGGCTCTGATTTTATACAAGAGAGTATAGGATCATATAGAAACACAGCCTTATGTAAAAAAAAAAAAAGAGAGAGAGAGAGAGAGAGAGAAATTCAAACATTCACATAAGGGAATAAGCTTTTGTTCCCTGGGCAGCATGTACAACAGCTTTTTTAAGACTGAAAGGAGATGTCTGACTTCAGGAGGTAAAATCCATCATTGGACCCACCCCTCCTTCCTGCTGGCTACTTTGGGGTCATGGAATCTCAAAAGAGATCAAACTGGGGATATGCTGGATCCAACCCCCCATTTTTTCCATATCTCACCCATGACAAATACTTTTTTGGTTAATTTGTGCAATTGATAGGATTTTCTTTCTTTTTTTTCAGACAAAAAAACAAAGGGCAATCTTTGCCCTGCTGGTCTGTTTCCATGGAGTGTTTGGAATAATCAGAGCACTTGATTGTCAGAATAAAGGCTCTTTTGCAGGGGTAAAAAGTAAAGTCTCCTCTGTCAAGCTCAAATCCTGGTGACTTCATGGACATGCCCATATAATTTTCTTAGCAACAAAATAAACATGGTTTGCCACTGCTTTCTTCTGTGATGTTTCTATGTCCAGTATAGGCTACAGCCCTGGGAATCCCTGGTGGTCTCCTATCCAAGCTAGTAAGATGGAGTGATTAAGGATTAGAATGTGGGAATGTGGGTTCTAACCCATCCTCAACCATGGAAGCTCATTAGCCAACTTTGAGCCAGTTTCTCTCTCTCTCTCTCTGTTAACAACCTGCATCGTAGAGTGGTTGTTGTGGGGATAACATAAGGGATGATGATCATCTGGCTGACTTGGGCTGGAAAAAAGGGGGGTCATAAATAAGTTTTGATCCTGATGAGCTTTTCTGAGATCTACAGCCAGGTCTAGGAATACTTGGGCAAGGGCAAGGGCAAGGGCAGAAACTGAGCAGAGGTTCACCATCCGAATGGGATCAGTAGCTTCATTCAGGACATTAGAATTGGGCAACTTATTTCAGTATTTTATGTTTCCCACACACTTTCATGTACTGGGTTATTGATATCTGTTTATTAAGAAAACACCTTTGGAGACAGTTTCCATTTAGAAGAAAAGGATGTTTCTTTTAATTGCATCCCATGTTTTTTAAAAGGGGACGCAGTGGCGCAGCGGCTTAATGACGCTGAAAGTTGCTGGCCAGAAATGGTCGA